ACGCGCAGGCCCAGGCGACGTGTGGCGACGAGGCGTCGACGGGGCGGCGACGGCGGCCACATAGCCGCCAAACCGACGCGCAGGCCCAGTTCCTGGCAAACAAGTAAGAACCTTAAGGACAAGCACTGTTTGGGATGACGACGACGACGACGACGGTGACGATGACGACGATGTTGATTTGTGATGATGGTTATGATGATGGTGGGCCTGTTTTCCACCGCCACCACCATACGTAGGAGGGGGAGGACGTCCTCCTCCTCCTCCTCTTCCTTCTCCTCCTCTTCCTCCACCTCCTTCCCCCCTCCAACTTATGGTGGTGGTGGTGGGAAACAGGCCCATCAGATGATTGATGTTGTGCTGGCCTCCGGCCAGTGCCGCCGATCCGGGGCGCTCAGGATAATGATGATGATGATGATGATGATGATGATGATGATGCTGATGCTGATGCTGATGCTGATGCTGATGCTGATGCTGATGATGCTGATGACCATGATTATGATTCGGATGATGTTTATGGTAGTGGACATTATGAATAGCATGACGATGGTGATGACGACGACGATAAGCAGGATTGTGATGCTGGTGATGGTAATAGTGGTTGTGATGATGATAGCGGTGTGCCCATAATGATTATGATAATGATGATGACGTTGGTGTTAGTGCTGATGATGTGACTTCTCAGGTACTAAGGATGATGCAGTTGGTGAGGACGATGATGGTGATGTTGATGGTGATGATGATGCTGATGATGATGTTGATGAGTGTAAGGAGGATGATGACGTTGACCATGGTGGTGGTGGTGGGTATGTTGATGACGACGGTTGTGATGAAGATGATGAAGAGGAATAGGTAGGCCATCATATGCTCCTTCTTCCGTCTCCACATCTTGTGGAGCTCATAAGGGGCCGTTCTGGGTCTGTTTTTGACTTTTCTGAGGAGGGATGACGAGGATGGAGGAGGGAGGACGAGGGAGGAGGGAGGAAGGAGGAGGCAAGAGGTAGGGTGGAGGAGGGAGGAGGGAGGAGGGAGAAAGGAGGAGGGCAGGAGGGGAGGAGGGAATGATGAGGGAGGAGGGAGGAGAAGGAGGAGGAGGAGAGAGAGAAGGAAGAAGAGGGAGGAGGAGAGAGAGGGAGGAGGAGGAGGAGGAGGAGGAGGAGGAGGAGGAGGAGAGGAGGAGAGGAGGAGGAGGAGGAGGAGGAGGAGGAGGAGGAGGAGGAGGAGGAGGAGGAGGAGGAGGAGGGAGGAGGAGGAGGAGGAAGTGGAGGGAGCCCTCTTGGGCCGTTTTGGGGTCGTCTTGGGAGCCTATTGAGCCGTCTTGACGCGGTCTCGGGGGCCTCTGGGACCGTCAGAAGCGAAGTCCCCCTGCCCCCGAGCACTGCATGGCGCCAGGAATGGCGTCCCCCCCCCTTCGCTCCCCTCGCAGAGCGAAGCTCCCGAGCACCGTCGAGAATGGCGTCCCCCCCCCCCCCCCTGCAGAGCGAACTCCCCCTCGGCTCTCGATCACTGAATGGCGTCGGGAATGGCGTCCCCCCCCCTTGCAGAGCGAACCCCCCTGGCTCCCGAGCACTGAATGGCGTCGGGAATTGCGCCCCCCCCCTTGCAGAGCGAACCCCCCTCGGCTCCCGAGCACCCGTCCACCCACCGCTTCGCAGCGCAGAGCGAACCCTCCCCCCCGGCTCCCGAGCACTGAATGGCGTCGGAATGGCGTCCCCCCCCCCCCCCTTGCAGAGCGAACTCCCCCCCGGCTCCCGAGCACTGAATGGCGTCGGGAATGGCGTCCCCCCCCCCCTCCTTGCAGAGCGAACCCCCACCCGGCTCCCGAGCACTCGTCCATCCCCTTGCAGAGCGAACCCCTCCCGAGCACTGAATGGAGTGGGGAATGGCGTCCCCCCCCCCCCTGCAGAGCGATCCCCCCCCAGCTCCCGAGTACTGAATGGCGTCGGGAATGGCGTCCCCCCCCCCCCACGGCCCACCCCCCAATGCAGAGCGAAGCTTGAGCGAGCTCAAGTCCACGCTCTCAGAAACTCTCACGCCGGATCAGCGGATTTTGTTGATGATGATCATGGTGATGTTGGTACGCCCACACCAAAGGCAGTATTTCAGACTACACGCACGGACCCTGGGCCGATACGCCTTCGAGGCGCGGCCGTAGCTTGCTCTCTCGACCTGCTGCCTCTGCTCCTGCTGTCCCGCCCGCTTACTCTCGCTCTCGAATCCGTGCAGGCATCAACCTCATTCCGCCTGAGGACCGACCGACCGACCGAGGAGGAGGAGGAGGCGGAGGAGGAGGAGGAGGAGGAGGACGCGGAGGACGCGGAGGACGAGGAGGGCGAGGAGGAGGAAGCAGAGGAAGGTCTCGATGTTATCGTGTTCGATTTCGTCTTCCTCTTGGTCGTCGGCTTTCTCTCCCGTCCTCTATTCTGTCCCTTGGCGTCCGGGTGCGCAGGGGATGCTCAACCTCATCCAGAGCACCACCAGGGGGGCGTGCCTCAAGCTGCGGGTCGTGCCTCGCTCGGCGACGAGGGGGGAAAGGCAAGGGGGCGCCCTACCTTGTTCGTGCACTCAGGAGGGAGAGACCACGAAATCCAGGATTCCCATCCTGTTCCCATATGTTCTGGGGTTTCGTTCCCCCCCCCGCGTCTTGTATTTTCCCGTATTCGGGAGAATCAATGATAAATTGTGGCCCCTGGAAGGAGTCCCGACCTCTGGGGAGCCAGGCTTCGAGGAGGGGATCGACTGCAGAATTGAGTTACCCCCGAATTCATTTCCGTCGAATCTATGAACTCCGTCGACTATATGAACAGATTCGTAGAATGCTCTGCAGACGTGCGGAGCATTCGACGTATTGGTCGTAGATTCGACGAACAAGTAAATTTTGGGGCAAATGAATTCTGTAGTCGATCCCCTGCTCGACGGGTTTAATCAAATTACGACATGGGGTGTCTTGGTGGAGGGGGAATAGAGGGGGTCAAGCTCCCAACAGGAGTGCCGCAAGCTGTCTCGCTCACTCCCACCCGCCCTCCCGCCACACAGGTGGCCCCCGCCCTCCTGACACGCAGTGCAGGCAGTGGGTGCCACCCGATGGACAGCCACTGGGAACCAGCGCAGACGCCAGGTGCGCCACCCTCGGAGTTGTTGTTTTTCCCAACCATCCTGTGATGTTGGGCCCTCGTTTTGAAGAGACGGCCCCCGCGTTCTCCTCCTCTCGTGCCCCCCCCCTCCTCCCTACCGTCCGCATGCGTCCCGCACACCCAGTACAGCGTTTCGTGGCCCCATGGGGAGCCTCACCGAAGGTCCCAGTGCTACCGTCCGCATGCGTCCCGCACACCCAGTACAGCGTTTCGTGGCCCCGTAGGGCGCCCCACCGAAGGTCCCAGTGCTACCGTCCGCATGCGTCCCGTGCACCCAGTACAGCGTTTCGTGGCCCCACAGGGAGCCCCACCGAAGGTCCCAGTGACTCTACCGTCCGCATGCGTCCCGCACACCCAGTACAGCGTTTCGTGGCCCTCCTCCCCCTCCTCCCTGCTGTCACCCACCCAGTACAGCGTTTCGTGGCCCCATAGGAAGCTCCACCGAAGGTCCCAGTGCTACCGTCCGCATGCGTCCCGCACACCCAGTACAGCGTTTCGTGGCCCCATAGGGAGCCCCACCGAAGGTCTTAGCGCTACCGTCCGCATGCGTCCCGCACACCCAGTACAGCGTTTCGTGGCCCTCCTCCCTGCGTTTCACCCACCCAGTACAGCGTTTCGTGGCCCCATGGGGAGCTCCACCGAAGGCCCCAGTGCCCCCGTCCGCATGCGTCCCGGAAACCCAATTTGGCATTTTCGCCCACCCAGTGCAGCGTTTCGTGGCTCCATAAGGGGCTCCACCCAAGGCCCCAGTGCCACCGTCGTATGCGTCGGGGAAATTTAATTTGGCATTTTCACCCGCGCAGTGCAGCGTTTCGTGGCCCCATAGGGGGCTCCCCCGAAGCCCCCATTGGGTCCGTCCGCATGCGTCCTGGTAACCCAATTTGGCGCTTTCACTCGCTCAGTAGAGTTCTTCGTGGCCTCATAGGGAGCTCCACCGCCCTCAGTGGGACCGTCCGCATGCGTCCCGGAAACCCAATTCGGCACACCACCCACAGTACAGCGTTCCCATCCGCCCAGTGCAGCGCTTCGTGGCCCCATAGGGAGCTTCACCGAAGCAGATATTCACAATTTCGGTACCCACAACTGCATATGGTTGGGACCTTCGCCAGGATAATTGTTCCCAACCATCCTGTGGTGTTGGGTTCTCGTTTTGAAGAGACGTCGCCCCGCGTTCTCCTCCTCCTTTCCTCTCCTCCTCCCCCTTCTCCCTCCATCACCATCACCATCACCAGTACCATCACCATCACCATCACCATCATCACCATCATCATCACCATCATCATCATCATCATCATCATCATCATCATCATCATCATCATCATCATCATCATCATCATCATCATCATCATCATCATCATCATCATCATCATCACCCGTTCCAGCATACCCCTCACACGTTTCGTGGCCCCATAGGGAGCCCCACCGAAGGTCCCAGTGCTACTGTCCGCATGCGTCCTCCCACCCAGTACAGCGTTTCGTGGCCCCATAGGGAGCCCCACCGAAGGTCCCAGTGCTACCGTCCGCATGCGCCCCCCCCACCCAGTACAGCGTTTCGTGGCCCCATAGGGAGCCCCACCGAAGGTCCCAGTGATACCGTCTGCATGCGTCCCCCCCACCCAGTACAGCGTTTCGTGGCCCCATCGGGAGCCCCGCCCCCACCGAAGGTCCCAGTGCTACCGTCCGCATGCGTCCCCCCCACCCAGTACAGCATTTCGTGGCCCCATAGGGAGCCCCACCGAAGGTCCCAGTGCTACCGTCCGCATGCGTCCCCCCCACCCAGTACAGCGTTTCGTGGCCCCATAGGGAGCCCCGCCGAAGGTTCCAGTGCTACCGTCCGTATGCGTCCCCCTACCCAGTACAGCGTTTCGTGGCCCCATAGGGGGCCCCACCGAATGTCCAGTGCTACCGTCCGCATGCGTTCCCCCACCCAGTACAGCGTTTCGTGGCCCCATAGGGAGCCCCACCGAAGGTCCCAGTGCTACCGTCCGCATGCGTCCCCCACGCCCAGTACAGCGTTCCGTGGCCCCGCAGGGAGCCCCGCCGAAGGTCCCAGTGCTACCGTCCGCATGCGTCCCCCACACCCAGTACAGCGTTTCGTGGCCCCATAGGGAGCCCCACCGAAGGTCCCAGTGCTACCATCTGCCCCTGTGCAGCGCTTCGTGGCCCCATAGAGAGCCCCACCGAAGCCCCTGGGACTGTCCGCATGCGTCCCGGAAATCTAATGTTCTATTTTCACACCACCCACTACCGCGTTTCGTGACCCCGTAGGGAGCTCCACCAAAGCCCCCAGTGGGACCGTCCGCATGCATCTCGGAAACCCAAATTGGCATTTTCATCCACCCAGTACAAAGCTTCGTGGCCCCATAGGGAGCTCCGCCGAAGCCCCCAGTGGGACCGTCCGCATGCGTCCCGGAAACCAAATTTGGCACACCCCTCATACGTTTCGTGGCCCCATAGGGAGCTCCACCGAAGCCACCACTGGGACCGCCCGCATGCGTCCCACACACCAGGTTTTGCATTTCCTCCCCACCCAGTACGGCGTTTCGTGGCCCCATAGGGAGTTCGCCCGACGGCCCCAGTTCTACCGCCCGCATGCGTCCAACACGCCAAATTTGGCATTTTCACCACTCCCAGTACGGCGTTTCCTGGCCCCATAGGGAGTTCGCCCGACGGCCCCAGTTCTACCGCCCGCATGCGTTCCCCCCCACCCAGTGCAGCGCTTTGTGGCCGCATAGGGAGCTCCACCGAAGAAAATATTCACAATTGCGGTACCCACAACTGCATATGGTTGGGTCCGTCGCCAGGATACTTGTTTTTGTTGCTGCTGCTGTTGAACTCTCACTCGTGAAGAATAACTGTTGTTGATCCCCCCCTCCGGTGCACATTGTTCCCAACCATCCTGTGGTGTTGGGCCTCGTTTTGAAGTGACAGCGCCCCGCGTTCCTTCCTTCCTTCCTTCCTCTCCTCCTCCTCCTCCTCCCCCTTCCTCCCCACCCCCCGTGGGCCCCAGTGGCCCATAGGGAGCTCCACCGAAGGCCCCAGTGGGGGTGCCCGCATGCGGTTCCCCCACCCAGGGCAGCGTTTCGTGGCCCCATGGGGAGCTCCATCGAAGGCCCCAGTGGGGGTGCCCGCATGCGGTTCCCCCACCCAGGGCAGCGTTTCGTGGCCCCATGCGGAGCTCCACCGAAGGCCCCAGCGGGGGTGCCCGCATGCGGTTCCCCCACCCAGGGCAGCGTTTTGTAGCCCCATAGGGAGCCCCACCGAAGGCCCCAGGCGGGGTGCTCGCATGCGGTCCCCCCCGCCCAGGGCAGCGTTTCGTGGCCCCATAGGGAGCTCCACCGAAGGCCCCAGTGGGGGTGCCCGCATGCGGTTCCCCCGCCCAGTGCAGCGTTTCGTGGCCCCACAGGGAGCTCCACCGAAGGCCCCAGTGGGAGTGCCCGCATGCGGTTCCCGCGCCCAGGGCAGCGCTTCGTGGCCCCACAGGGAGCTCCACCGAAGGCCCCAGCGGGGGTGCTCGCATGCGGTTCCCCCATCCAGTGCAGCGTTTCGTGGCCCCACAGGGAGCTCCACCGCAGGCCCCAGTGGGTGTGCGCGCATGCTGTTCCCCCCCCTGTACAGCGCTTCGTGGTCCATAGGAGGCTCCACCGCAGGCCCCAGTGGGGGTGCCCGCATGCGGTTCCCCCACCCAGGGCAGCGTTTCGCAGCCCCACAGGGAGCTCCACCGCAGGCCCCATGTGGGGTGCCCGCATGCGGTTCCCCCACCCAGGGCAGCGTTTCGTGGCCCCACAGAGAGCTCCACCGAAGGCCCCTGTGGGGGTGCCCGCATGCGGTTCCCCCACCCAGGGCAGCGTTTCGTGGCCCCACAGGGGGCTCTACGCAGGCCCCAGTGGGGGTGCCCGCATGCGGTTCCCTCGCCCAGGGCAGCGTTTCGTGGCCCCACAGGGAGTTCCACCGAAGGCCCCCGTGGGGGTGCCCGCATGTTGTTCCCCCACCCAGGGCAGCGTTTCGTGGCCTCATGCGGAGCTCCACCGAAGGCCCCAGTGGGGGTGCCCGCATGCGGTTCCCCACCACCACCACTGTGGCAGGCCCCTCACACAGTTCGTGGCCTCATAAGGAGTCCACCGAGGACGATATTCACAGCTGCGGTATTTACAACTGCGTATGGTTGGGTCCTTCGCCGGGCTAACATTTTTGGATTGAAGTGCCCCTCCCGACGCTCGCACCCTGTGTTGTTGGCCCCCTGGTAACAGCATCAATGGCTCCCGCCTTAGACTTCCTCACACTTTAGCCAGGACCCCCACTCCCGCCTGAGACTTCCTCGCATTTTACTCAGGAATCGCGCCCTCGATTGGGACTTCCTTGCAACTTA